CTGTCTGTCCATCTGTCTGTCTGTCCATCCGCCCTCCCACACCCCTGACCCATGGACCCCTGTCCCCGCTGCCTGCAGCCCCTCCAGCCCTGCTGCGCCGAATGCTCTGTCTGCTTGATGGATGTTTCAGTGCACCTCTTGGAGGCAGATTTCTTTAATATATATTTTTTATTCTTTTCCCCACCCGAGTCCTGACGCAGCCTTTGGTTTTGAGGGTGCAACTCAGCGCTTGCAAATAATTGCCCTGCTGCACTTCTACGCCTGCACTGAAACAGGAGCATCGTTTGGTGCTGAATTTCCTGAGCGAGGCAGCTGGAGCTGGGATTGCCGACAGCTCGGCCTTAGCAGGAGCAAAGGGCAGTGTTGGCACTGGCAGTGCTAAATCTGCCTGAAGGAGAAGGCAGAACGGCTGTGGGGCTGCTGGGGGGCTCTTCCCCAAACTGCCTTTGGGGAACCAGAGCACAGGGTTGTGGCAGCCGGGGCTCTTCCAGCCTCTCTGCACCAGGTGTTCCTGCACTGCTGGGCTGGATGGGAGAATGTGGGTGAGGGCAGGAGGGAACAGGGATGCTGGAGGTCAGTCAGTGCTGTGCTGCCCGCTGGGGATGGCTGCATCGGGTCGGTGCGGGGCAGGTTTGCGTGCTCGCATGTGGATGTCTTAGGGGTAAGATGTTCTCCAGCCCCGCTGCCGTGTCTGGATTGGCACGTAGGAGCTCACTCATGCAAGTGGCAGTGTGACACTAAGCAGAATTTGCTGCCGGAGGGGCTTCTCATTAATAGGAAGGAGAGCGCAGAGCGCTGCTCCACACCCACGGCCGTGATTGGGCTGTCCCCACAGGGACTGTCACTGCAGCATCACCCCCTGCATTGCACCTCCCTCTATCTTTAACAGCAGTCCCAGCATGGCACGCACGGCTCCGGGACCTGGCCAACACGCCGTGTCCCCAAGGAAGGGATGCAGGGCTCCCTCCTCTTCTTCCATCTCTGAGGCTGGGAGATGTGGGGCAGGGCTGAGCGCAAAGCAAACGCGGTGCCTCCCCTCCCCAGGGCACCCCGGCAGCCACCCCGCAGCTTCCTTTGCTCCACGGCGAGGCATCGGGAACGGTGGGGATGCAGCTCACCCCGCAGCCCTCACCTCCCGAAACGGAAGGCGAAGCCACCTTTCTTCCTGCTGTAGCCATTGAGTTCCACAGCAAGGTCCCCCAGCGTGCCACCACCGCCGCGCTTCTCTGAGCCCTCCTGCCGTCCCCGTGGGCCCCTCCTGTGCTGCTGCCCGTAGCCCCGCAGCACCCGGGCGATGCCCAGCAGCGTGCCCAGCTCCTCGCTTCGCCGCCGTGTCGGGGCTGCCCACCCACAGGGACCGGCGGCCTCAGCCACCGCTCCTCGCCAGCGTGGCTCCAGCGCATCCTCGGGGTGTCGGGGCTCGTGGGGTGGGCAGCAGGCCCCCAGGCTGAGCAGGATGAAGCAGGACAGCGAGTAGGATGCTCTCATCTGGGGGGACACAGGGAGGGAGAGAGATGGCAAAGCGCTCAGCATCCTTGGGGGCATCAAGGACTTTCTCCCGTGGAGCATCCCTCCCGTGGAGCATCCCCTCCCTGTACCAGTATTGCTATGGGGCAGGTACCCATGTATGTGCTGCAGCACCCTTAAAGAAGCCAGAAAACCCCTCCGGCACCCCTACAAACTCTCACTGAGCTGCTCTCCCTGCATCTTTCCTCCTCCTGACCTCTCTCTTCCTCTCTACGAGCCTGCAGTCCCTGCTCTGGTCCGCTGCCAGGCCTGGCACAGTTTGGGTTGGCTGCGCGGGGCTGTTAGCGGGGCAGGCTGATGGGAGCAGCTGATGGGAGCAGCTGATGGGAGCTGCAGCCGCGTGCTCCTCTTAGCAGCACTGCAGGGAGGGCTTAAGTGCATTCACCTGAGCAGTGCTCAGCTCTGAGCGCTCAGGTGCCACCCGCAGCGCCCCGTTAATGCGTGCAGGGGAAGGAGCTCGCAGCCATCGCTCTGCTTTATGGGGCTGAGCGGTGCCTGGGTGACCTTGGGCAGCTCTGCAAAACTTCAGAGAGGGAGAATGGAGTTTTAATTTATTATTATTATTATTTTTTTTTTTTTCAGGAGATGCTGCCTTTAAAATTGCTGCTGGTGTTGGGGGATGGGGTACCTGCCCCCATCTAGGTGCTCTGCTCTCCTGCAGACCCCTCTGAGCCCAAAGCACTGTGGGTCCCAGCTCCCCTCCTGCTATGGGCTTTGCTTTCCGTGCCTCCATCCCACCTTGCCCCTGACCTGGGCACTCCCAGCACAAAGCCAAACACAGGGAGCGCCTTGCCCTGCTCCAACCCCATCCCATCCTGGGGTGTTCCCACTCCTGCAGCCCAGGGATGTCTCTGCTGTCCCCATCACTCACCTCTCTGCCTTGGGCGATGCCCAGCTCTGCGCTGCCCTGCCTGCATCCGGGCTGAGCTGGCCATTAAATACCTGCGGGTGTTAATTGCCTTCTGCCGGAGGCTGGGCTGCTGCAGGGAGGTGGGGGGACAGAGGGGATGGGGCTGGCCAAGCCACTACAACAGGGTTAATGAGCCACCTTCATTTGTGGCTTCGTTTGGAGGAGAGGCTGAGCAGGAGCCGGTGCTCTTGGCTTGGAGCCAGCGGCAGTGACGCCGGTTGGGGACACGAGCACTCCCACCTGCAGCGCGATGTGAGCCTGTCGTTGCAGGTCCAGATGGGTGTGCAGAGCCTGCAGGTGCTCCTGCACTCCTACACCCACTCAGGACCCATCCCCACACAGAGAAGCCCTATTTTTCCCACCCTGCCTGGCCAATGCTCACAGCCACCGGCCGGTCTCCAGCACCAGGCACTTGGCTGTCCCCTCCCACATCTTGGGATGGGGCTGAGCAGTGGGTGAAAGGAGCTGGGACCCCACTCAGTGCTGTGCCCATCCACGCACTGTGGCTTTCCCCTGGGTTTGGGTTCCCCATGGGGTTCCTAAAGGGCTGCCAGCTCCCGCTGTCCTTCTGGTGGTGTCCCTGTGCTGTGACCATAGAGGAGAGCACACCAGTAACGATGAGTTCCTTTTATTAAGGAGTTCAGAAAGTCCACATGGACAGCGCTGGACATCACTCACACACAATGGAGACCTCACGGCACAGCAACACGACGCGATGGCCGCGGGGAGGGACGTGGCTGTGCTCCAGGCCTGGAGCCGTACGCCTCCCCTTCTGTCCCCAGCACCAGATTGCAGCTGTGCCGTCCCCTGATGTCCCCATGGCCACCCTGGCGAGGTGGCACTGGGAGTGGGTTCATCCCAGCCTGGGGTTACTGAGTGCCATGTGCACTCCCAGCACTCATCCTGGAAAATCCGTCGTCTCGGGCTGTATGGAATACCTCTCGTGCAATGCGAAACGAACTCGTTTGGGAGTCCTGGGTGGGAGGGGCAGGACACAGGGAAGTGCTACCAACACACTACAACACCCCATTCCTGTCCATTCAGAGCTCAGGACCACAAGGACCCCACACATGGGCTCTGGGTCATTCCTCCTAAAGGCAAATGCTATATGAACCAGCTGTATGAACCCACCGAAATCAATGAGCTAACAGCAAAGGTGGGCACGGCCCTGCAGACCCTCGGGGTGCAGTTGGGGGGCTGCTGCCCTCTGTGGGGTGTTGGGCCCCCCCAGTGGATTTGGTTGGATGTGAGCAGTGCAATGTCTCTGACTCAGGGTGGTCCCAGCACATCGTGTGTCCCCGGCTCCCCGTGGGGCAGAGGGATGGAGAATGGCCTGCAGATGGAAGCGCTCATCCAGTGTGGAATGAGAGCAGGGGAAGGCTTAAAAAAAGGAGCACGTCGAGAAGTGCAGAGCTGCGGCTGCAGGAATGAACCTTTGATCTCACTGTGCTTTGGGTCCCCGCGCAGCACAGCTCTGGGTCTGTCCTCCCCTCCTCGGGGCGCTCCAATAGTTCTTCATGGGGTTGGGGTCTGTTGTGGGGCTGTATCCTCAGTGCTGCGGGAAATGATGCAAAGGTGCAGGGGGTCCCGGCTTCCCCTCCCCTCACACCAGCTTTATTGGTGTTGTTTTTGGACAAAAGCACCCATTGAAGTCCTTGTAGGAGCCTTTCCCGTTCCTATGGGGCCGGGGCTGCTGCACCCCTCAGCAGCACAGTGCCTGGTGGGCTGAGGATGCAGCCCCGTTATCAGCGCCCTGCAGATGCTAAGCCCCACTCAGGGCTGCTTTTTGCAAAACCTTAATGGGATTTGAAGAAACGAAAGGCTTTGAATATCTGCAGGTGCAGAGCCAGAGCTGGAGCGTGGCTCATCGGGGATGGAAATGAATGCGGGTTGCTGGGCGGGGGGCCCTGTGGGGGTGCTGCTGAAACAGAGGGCAAGGTCACAGCTTCTGGATGGTGAAAACCCATCGTGCGTCTGGGGCAGGAGCTGTGCAGGGAAGGCAGAGCTGTACTGGGGGTTGAGCCTTCCCTGCTTCCTCCTTTTCCTCCTGCTCTCTGCTTTGCTGATGCCACCACACAGCTTTGTGCCATGCTTGGCTGTGGGCATCCATCCCTGCAGCGCTGTGCCCATGTGCTGTGCAGCTCCACGAGCAGGGGCAGTGAGGTCTGTAGGTGTCCCTTCCCCTCTCTGAAGACAGAGAGGAGAATGTTTGCAGAGAAGGAACCACTGGCACTCGTGTGAGCACCAACCCAGCAGAGCCCTCCCTGTCCTCAGTAGCACCGTGGGGGCTCCACGCCCCAGAAATGGTCTCCAGCCCTCCATCCCCTCCCCTCCTTGTGCACTGCTCCCCAAGTCCCCACTGCACCGCGAGCATCCGGTGTGGCCCAGGGAGGGGACGCCCATCCCAGTGGGGAGCAGAGGGCATGGGGTCAGGACAAAGCCATCGTCCCCGGCGGAGAGATGCTCCACAGGACCCCAGGGCAGGATGGTGGCATGGGGTGCACCAGGAAGAGAGGAACCATGGGGCAGTGGGAAGGGGTCAGGGAGGGGCTCGGTCCATCCGTTAATTCTCCTCCCGGACGGGCCGGATCTTCATCTCAGTGAACTTGAGGGAGTACTGCCAGCCGGTCCAGGAGGACCACTCGATGCCATCAGCATAGGAGCTGTGGTGGCCCTTGAGGTACTGCCCGTTGAGGTTGGAGGTGTGGCAGTTGCGGTACCACCAGGCGCCGTGGTAGAACGCCGCGCAGTTGTTCTCTGAGTGGTCGTTATCCAGGTCCTTGGTGGTGAACTTCATCCCATTGTGCTTCAGGAAGGAATCTCCTGCCGCAGGTAAAGGAGCCGTGAAGGGCCCTCCCCACCCCTATCCCTGCCCTCGGGGTGGCTTCCAAAAGCCCCATGCACCTCAATGGAGCTTCTTGGTGCCTTATAGGGCGCTCGGGCTCATCACTACTCAACCACAGCCACCCTCCAGCTTCCAGCTCTCAGTGCATGCTCCGGGGATGGGATTTGGTCCCCTGAGGGGTCCTACCTGCCGTCCCCGAGTAGTCGGCGATGGAGATGGGGTACCCGTCCTCCTCGGGGTCAACAGAGAAGAGCCCCACACCAAAGCTGCCGTAGTGTGCGAAGGCGGTGCCGTTGTCGAAGTCCTCCAGGTCAACGCGCAGCTCGTAGCTGCCCTGCACCGTCAGCACGTGGATCCGCTTCAGCCCTACATGGAGTGGGGTGAGCAGGGCACAGGGGGGTCCCTGGGATGCACTGATCCCCACTTCCAGCCCTCGCTGCCCTGGCCAAGGACATGTGTGCAGCCCATGGGCAAATGGCAGCACCGCTCGCCTGCCTACCGATGACCCTTGCCATTGCCCTGAACTCCCTGTGGCTGCCTGGCCATGGCATGCAAGACATGGGCACTGGCTCAGCCCTTGGGGTGCATTGGTTCAGTCACTGGGTGCACTGTTCTGGCCATTGGGTGCATTGGTTTGGCTATTTGGGTGTGCTGGCCCAACCACTGGGTGCATTGGCCCAACCACCGGGTGCCTTGGCTCAGCCATTGGGTGCACTGTTTTGGCCACTGTGTGCATTGGCTTGGCCATCAGGGTGCCTTGGTTTGACCATTGGAGTCCATTGGTTCAGTTGTTTGCAAAGGACACCCCACGCACCTAACCAGTGCTCTCCTGTCAGCTTCCCAAAGCCGTCCCGGTAGGCTTCCCAACCACGGAAGAAGTTCACAGAGCCGTCCTCCCGTCGCTGGAACACCTGGGAAGATACAGGGGAAGGCAGGGCAGCTCCGGGCTCAACCCAGCTGTTCTCTCCTCCCCTTTCCCCTCGCTCTGTTCATCAGCATCTCACGCCCTGTATATTTTGTCCTCTTTTATCTTTAGTTTGGAGTTTGATTTATTGACAACGATCCAGAAAACGCTGCTCCCCGCTTGACCATTCGAACGTAATTAAGCTTCCAGCCCTGGATTAATTGCATTAAACTTGGCCGCTCCAGCCTGCCTGGAGGAGAACGGAGCCGGCGAGATGGCCCCGGAGCGCTGCGCTCCTACGGCTGCGATGCTCAGAGCCGGCAGGGAGGCAGCGCTGTGTGCTGGGCCACCTCCCCGAGCTGCCCCTGCCCTTGAAAGCACCCATATGTGTTTTTTTTCCCATTGCCCATCCGTGGGGCACCCAGCGCCCGGCTGCTTTGGGGCCGGGTGTGATGGGGCCGGGCGCGGGTCCAGCGCCGATCCTGCTGTACTTACCTTCTAGAATTAGAGCCTTAATTTTAATCCCTGCACTGAGCGCTTGAGAAGCCGCTGCTAAGCCCATTTAAAGGGGCTTTCGGTGGGTGAGGGGGCGGCGGGGCTGGCTGGGAGCCCCGAGCTGATCTCCCCACGCCGTGCCGCGCAGGGAAGGCAGCAGCGGTGATGCTGAGGCTCTCTCATTTAATCGGCTTTGACTCGAGGTTGTAAATAGGCCAATTGCTCGGGAAAGCGCACGGGACACATCTTCATTAGCCGAGCCCCGGCGCGGAGCGGCGATTACCGAGCTGTCGGCAGCTTTGGGCTGGGATCGGCACCGCAGGGACCCCGCGTGCCCCACGGTCCCCGCATTTGGCTGCAGGAGTCCCACAGAACCCCGCACCCTGCGCTGGGAAAGCTGCACCCCGAGTTTGTGTGCGGTCCCTCCTCGTGCTTCACATTGGGGACGGGGAAGGGAAGCGATGGGTTTTGGTGAGCGGGCTCTGAGGGTCCGGAGAGGGACGCACGAGGGGAAGTGGGGCCAGGGCTGCAGGTGAGGGGAGCCGGGGAGCGGGGCCGGCTGTGCTCACAGCACGGGCTGCCCGTTCCTTCCCTCCTCATGAAATATGCATCGCCCCCTCTTAAGCAAAAAGGATTTCCTTCCCCGCTTTAAAGCTTAGGCTGAAATATTCATCGCCCCGGCTCGCTGCCTGGCTGCTCAGCAAAGCGGGGCAGAAGGCACTGGGAAGGCACAGAACCGGGAAAGTGGACAAAACGAAGGAAAAAAAGGAGGAGTGCCACCTTCCTTTGGGGTCAGCGTCCCCATCGCACCGCTCCTCGCGGGGCGGAGATGCTGAGGCGCAGCCTGGCAGTGATGAAGCAGCGCAGAGTTTGCAAAGCGCCCGGCACACGAAGCAGAGTCATCAGGCGATGGGATGGCCGTGCTGCCGCCCTCCGTCACACCGTTATTGCTTTAATAAAGCGGCAGGAGCGGAGGGTCGGGGAGTGGGGGGGGGAATATCAGCGTGCTGCCCCGTGCTACGAGGCGGTCAGCCCCGGGTGAGCTGCAATTAACGGCAGCGCAGAGGCGATGCAGATGCTCCCGTGTACTGGGGGCAGAGAGCTGCCTGGGGACGGGTGATGGGTGGCCCTGCAGCTGGGGATGGACCCCATCTCCTGCCACAGCTCTTGCAGCTGAAGGCTTAGCTCAGCAGCTCCCGAGCCCAAATGGATTCAGCTGCTTCCACCCACCTCCCCACATGCAAATAAGCCCAAATGTCAGAAGTACGGCTCCAGAGGAGGAGGGGAGGGAAATTTCCCAGGCTCTGTACCACAGCATCTTTACCTGGAGCCCGTGGGCCCCGATGTGCACCAGCACTACGGATGGGTGAGCTCCCCACCCCACAGCCCATGGGGATGTCTGGGAGCCGGGCTGGGCCGTGCCATGGGGCAGGGGGGTGGCAGAGTGCCGGATGCTCTGACCCATAATGCTGGGATGCAACACAGGCTTTGGTCCTTTGACCCCCCATCAAGGCTGGAGCTCACAATGTGCATTCGCTCCCTTTGCACCCTTCTGGCCCCGCTGGAGCCTTCCCAGCTGCAGCAGCTTTAAATAAACCTCTGAGTGTCTGGCTAATCACCTTGGGCTGCTCTTCAGGCAGCTCCTGAGTGTGCGGCTGGGGGAGGCAGTGCATGGGATTTGCAAGGACCCTCTACACCCTGGGAACTGTAGTGTCCCCTCTTTGTCCTCTCTGACCCCTAGGATGTGGGGTTGCTGTGCTGTGCCTCGGTTTCCCCAATGTGAACCCAATGTTCAGGTCTGCTTGGGTGGGCTCTGGGTAGAGTGAGGCTGAAGGCTCATCAGCCCCTGGAAGGCAATGGGGCGGAGGGGAAGGGGGGCTAAGCTGCCTCCTGGCACCGCTCAAAGCTGCTTAAGGGAAGCAGATCGTGGGGATTTATTTCCTAGAGCGCCCAGCTGGAGGGGTGCTGGGCCATGTCCTCATGGAGAGGCCGCCTGTCACCCCTATTCACCACCCTGGGGTCTCTGCTTGGTGCTCAACATCCCCCAGGCTGGGGGCACTCAATGGAACGTGGGGGGTGGCTGCATCCCCCTGTCGCCCTCTGCTGCATTACTGTGATTACGGGGCTGTCGCAACCATGGCACAAAGCGAAACGGACAGGGAGAGTTAATCAGCACAGCAGCAGAGGTGCCCCCGGGCACCCCTTCGTTAGTGGTGCACAAATGAGCTGGGGTGGGTGATGCTATGGGGGGGGGGGGAGGGTGTGAGTGCACAGAGCTTTTCTTTGTGCTTCCATAAAAAGGGGAGGAAAGAGATGGTCACCACTCAGTTGTGCCCTCTATGTTGGGCTGAGGGATGTTGGGTGTGATGGAGGCCAGGGGGTGTCAATGGCCCCAGACCAGCACCTGGCTCTGTGCTGTAGGGGTCCCTTTGTCCCCATTGCCATGAAATACGAGTTCCAACCATGGCACAACCCAACAGCCCAACCCCAAGCTCCAGCTTGCTGAACCCTGGCCAGGTCCCTGCTTGCAGCCAAGCCCCATCCCCATGACACATCAAGTGACATCTCCCACCCACAGCCCCCATATCCCAGCCTGGGGACATCGCTCACCGTCCAGCCGCCCCCGTCGGTCGTCATGTCGCAGTAGACCTGGAAGCCCGAGGGGTAATGTGTGGGGAAAATGGAGTAAATCCCATCCTCTTGCTGTCCGCTCACATAGATGTCAAAGCAGTCCCGGGGCCGGGAGCCTGCAGCATGACACAGGGATGGGGTGGGATGAGAGGAAGGCTGGTTAATTAATGATCTAATTTCAAGGCTTGCCATTTCTTCAGGCTCCCAACCTCGCTGCTTTGCTCTTTCCCTCCCTTTCCCTCCAGGGATTGGGTTGAGTGGTGCTGGGAGGGACGCAGGGTCCGTCCCCACGTCCCTGTGGGGTGGTCGGGGCAGGATGGACCCCAGCAGAGCAGGGGGCTGATGGCTGGAGGTGGCCATGGGCACAGTGCTGGTGGCTCCAGGGCAGCTTACTCAGCCCCATCTCAGCGCAGCAATGATGAATGCGACTGCTCCCGGTGCTGCACAGTGTGCCCGCAGTGCTTGCACCCAAATAGAGGAGAAGGGTCACTTCTGGCTTTGCTTCTCCTTCATGGATGCTGGGAGCAAGCAGAAGCAATGTGGATTTTGTGGTGGCTGCATGGGCCGTTTGATGGGGCGCTGGGGGCTGCATGGCGAGAGACCCATTTTGTGGGCACATCTCCCTCCTGCCTCTTCTCCCTCTATCATATCCATTGTCTTTGCAGGCTGCTTTCCCCATCCCAACTGCCTTCTCCCTCCCCTTTTGGCAGGTAGAGAGCTGGGAGATGCCCTATGGCTCATCCCTCCCCATGGCACACCCTCCCCAGGGCCGGGGTTTCATCTCTCACCATTGGAGCAGCCACGAGGCCGTGCTCCCCGTGCTGGGGCTCGCTGCAGGTCAGCCTTGAGCCGGGGCCGGACGCCGCCACGCTCCTTCTGCAGCGTGTCCAGCACATCACTGACTGAGCTCACCAGCCGGGCCATGTTGGTCTGGCTCTCTGAGAGGAGCTGCAGGAGGGGGACATGTGATGGGGTGATGGGTTGGGGTTAAATGGAACTTCAGACCCTCGTGTCTCCAAGGAAGTGGCAAATCCATCCCCATGCATTCTCTGCCCGCTCCCACAATTTTCAAACAGCTGTAGGAGCAACTTTCCCAGCCAGGATATGAGGTGGGGACACAGAACCGTGGCAGAGCCCACACGGTATTTTGGGTGATGTTATTCCCCTGGGTCTGCTCCCAGATGATGTCCAATGCATCACTGCATTGGGAGCAAGAGCTCCTGAGCTCAGCCTGCGGGCAGCTGGGGACAAGGAGCAGCCGGGACATGGGGACTTTGGGAGGAGCTGCGTCCTGAGGCTCTGCCTTCCCCTGAGGTGACCCGGCTGGGAGAGCTCTGTGAGGTGAGGGCAGGCGGGAGCAGAGCAGTGGTGCTGAGAGTGGAGTGGAGAAGGGACGGCGCGGAGCTCAGCATCCAGCCATGCTCTGGATCTCACTGTGATGCCCAACAGAACCTCCCCAGCTTACCCTGGTAAGGTTTTGGTGGGTTTGGGGTGGTGAACGAGGCAGAGGAGTTATTTGTGAGCAGGGTTCCAGGTTGAGCAGGGAAGGGACATCCCCCACCATGTGGTCTAGGGCACAGACACCCCAAACAGCTACCCTTGGGCATGGAGCTGAACTTGTTCTAGCTCCAAACCCCACCGACCCTCAACCACAGCTTTTCCCTGCATAAAGAGCAGGATCCACGCCTTGGGGACATGAGGACACCCACCTGGATGAGCCTGCCCTGCTCGCTCTGCAGGGCACTGAGCTCCTGTCCCATAGCACTGTGCCCCTTCTTGAGGCCATCGCAGTCAGCTCGCAGTTGCGCTGCGTGCGTCACCAGCTTGGCCACCTCGTCGGCCACGCCAAGCAGCAGGGCCTTCTGCTGGCCCTTGGTGGCCTTGGCCTCAGCATCGTGCTCGGCGAGGGCGCGCAGCAGGGAGCCCTGCAGCCCCTCCAGGCGCCCGACGCTGCCCGCCGGGTCGGGGCAGTTGGGATCTATGAAGATGTTGATGCGGGAGCTGTCGGCTTTCTCGATGGTCACCAACGCGTTGGCCTCCTCGGGGTTGGTGCTGATGACTGGCGGAGGCTCGGTGACGGGTGTGTGGTAGTGGTTCATGAAGAGGATGGCCCCTGTCACTGTCACTGCCAAGAGGACGGCCACCGAGAGCAGGACGGTGCACAGCACGTAGCCACAGCTCATCCTCTGGGGACACAGAGAGAGGGGATGTCGGGACCCATCACCATGAGGGGCCATCAGAACCCATTCAAGGTGCCACTGGGACCCATCTACATGGACTCATCACCACCAGGTGCCACCAGGACCCATCCAGACAGACCCACCCCAGAGCCCTTCCACCATGAGATGGGTTCAGACCCTCACAGGGACTGGGATCAGCTGTGGCAATGGGATGGAGAAGTGAAGCCCACTTCCCAAGGACTTCTGCCCACAGGATGGAGCAAAGAGAAGTGGAAGCAGAGATGCCCATCACAAAAGCAAAGTGCTTTAGTCCCTGTGTGGAGCCTGGAGGGTGGCTTTGTCTTCATGCCCTCATTTGGGGCAGACCCAAAAACTATGCCAGAACACAAACCTTGTGCCCAGGGGACTCTGGAGAGGTCAGGATGTGGGGTTTTGGGGGTAACATTCTGCATGGGCTAGGTTTGCTCCTCTGCTCTAGCTCTGGCAATGAGGGAGGTCACACTGCACCCTGGCGTAGTGCTGCAGGAGGGAGTGTGGGGACAGCAGGGAAACCTGTGGTTCCAACAGGGCATGGGTGAGCTCAGCCAGCAAAGCTGCTGAAGCCGCCTGGGAGTCACGGGTGTGAAATAATAATAAGAGGGTGAGCAGAGCAGCATGTGACCATCTGTATGTTTTATTGAAGGCATAATGCTCAGTGAGAGCAGCACCAGCCCCAGGAGATGCAGGTGGGCTCCCCACTGCCCTGGGAATGTGAGAATGCAGGGAGGGAAAGGGAGAATCCCCGTGCTGTGCCCTGCAGTGTGGACAGCAGGGAAAGCGAAGGGAGAGAGAGGGATGTTCCCAGAGGTGTGGGGAAGCTGGAGCCACGCTGAGCAGCAATGGGGATTGCTCCCAGCAGGGCTTTTCCCTGTCCTATGATCCTATCCCAGTGTGACCCAATGGAGGAGCGACTGCTCCCAGCTCAGCCTGCAGGAGCTGCTCAGGGTGCAGTGAGTGCCATTCCTGCAAAGCCATCAGCACGGAGGGTGTGAGCTGCCGCCCGCCCATCGGCTCCGGCCCCCTCTCATCACACCTGCGGGACACGGGCGGTGATTTTCCCCTGACCCCGGTGCAGCTGTCACAGGGAATCGCAGCGCTGCCAGAAAGCCGCCTATTTGGAGAGACAAAGACTACTTTCTTCAGGAACGAGGAGAAAATTGCTGCATCTGCAAAGATTTCCCAAGCCCTGTCCCCTCCCGTGCACATCTATCTGGAGTGACACCTTCCTTCAAGCACCCTTCATTCACGCTCCCGCAACCATTTGCATTAAGGTGACCACGGCTGCGGCAGCGGGGGAGGTGGGGGGGGGGAACGGCTGCCCCGCACAGCCCGAGGGCTGCTCTGCCTTTTTTCACGTGGTGCTCAGCCCCAGGGCAGCCCTCCCCACAGGATGGGGCAGTGGGAGAAGGAAGAAGAGATGCACATCACTGGCAGCCCTATGGGGACAGCTGGGACCCCGCGAGCACAGATGCAGAAGGACAGGACGGCTGCTGGGAAGAGGGAAACGTCGAGTAATTTGAGATCCAAGCAGGGAACGCTGCTGGTTTCCAGCCTTCCAGCCCCGATATTGTCACCTTCCTGCCATTGCTGGGTGCAGGAGTGAGGGGACGACCCCTCTGCCAACACACACCCCTGTCTGCAGCTGTGAGATGCTGAGTGGTGACAGCCTTCTCCGTCCCCCAGTGCTGTGCTGGCGGGTTGTGTTACCTGGCAACCTGCGGTGGGAGAGGAGGGAAACTCCTCCGGCAGCACCTGGAGCACTCTGAGCTGGGGCTGGGGTCTCTCATTGCCCCCTGCTCAGCAAAACTGTGCCCAGCATCCAGCATGGTGCCCTGCCAGCACCGCGTTCCTTGGAGCTCTGGGGCTTTCTTCTGCCCATTGCACGGCCTTGAGCTCACAGATTTTCTTGCTTTTGAGCAGCCCTAGGTCATCCCTCTGCTGACGAACCCTGCTGTTCTCTCTGCCAGCAGGCCAATGTCCCCACATTGCTTCTTCCCAAGGAGTGAGCAGAGCTTTTCCTGCAAACTTGCTCAGGGTGCTGGGGCTGAGAAGGATGCAGCAATGCAAAACCCAGCACAAGTCCTGACTGGGTGCAGGATGCCAGGAATTCTAGTGGCCTCTGATCTGACATCTGCTGGCAGCAGTGCCAGGCTGGGGAGCAGAACTGCTGCCTATTGCCGAGGCCAAGCCCAGATCTCTGTTTGCACAAAGAGCGCAGAGACAGAGCTGGAACCAAGGATGCTGCTCCTACTCACTGTTCCTACACTCAAGGGACCTGAGCTGTGTGGTGTGAGCTGCCCACGGGCTCTGTGCATCCTGGGACTGGGGGTGCCATCATCACCCCACCACACATCCCATCCTCTTTGGCCCCCAGGAACATGAGCAGCCATGTGGGTGCAGAAGCAGCAACTCCAGTATGGAGAACCAGAGCAGAGCCAGAGAGAGGAAGGCTGCTTGTCCCCGGGCGCGTGGAGCAGAGTTGGAACCAAGAATGGAGAATGGTGGTGGGAGAGGCTGCGCCGAGCCGTGGGGATGCTCTGCAAGGAGGTGTCCTTTATTCCAGCCAAAGGCACGGCTCTTTGTAACCCAGCAGGGCCGCTGGGGTAGCTCCATGCACGGGATGGGGCAGCCCCAGGGCTCTCCCCACGAGCTGCGTGCCAGCCAGGGATGAAGCAGGACCCCGGTTGCGCTCCCTGCAGCCCAGCCATCCCCCCTCCTACCGGGTTCATCTGGCTCCAGAGGAGCCCAGCCGGAGGACAGCAAGGGCCAGTCCATCCCACGGCTTGCTCACTGTGCATCCCAGCTGCTCTGCCCCTTCTCCGCTGGGCTGATGCAGCTCTGTTCCAGTTCCTCTCCACCCGCTCTCCTGCCCAGCTCTGCACCCTACCCGTCCCAGCTCCTCTGCTCGTTCCCAGGCACGGACGCGGCACAGCCGAGCTGCATCCCTCTGCCTGCTCTCCCCAGAGCTCCTACAGCACAGCACAGCGCGGCGCGGCGCGGCGCAGAGCGCACACGGGGACAGGCTTCCATTGGAGCCTCCGGGAGCTGGAAGCAAACTCTGCTCCCTCTGCAAAGACGTGCAGGAAAAAGCAGCTCCGTGCTGCGACGCCCAGCCCCGAATGCACTTCCCTCACCAAAGAGAAGAGGGAAAACGAAACGATGGACACGGGGACGAGCGCGTTCCTGCTGGGGATTCCCTGTCCTCAGCAGCGGGGTGCAGATGGTAGCCGGGAGACGGAGCTGAAAACAGGAGATTCTATCCCTCAGCTCGCAGACTCGGTCGGGAGCAGCTCCTTCGCCTTCTCCCACCGTTCCCACGTCTCTCACCCGCGCTCCGTGCCTGTCCTCCTCCCCCCACCAGGTGCGAGGCAGCCCCGCGTCCCAGCCACGCTCCCCTACCTGCCGCCTGCGCGCCGCGGATCCACGTTCGGATGCCGCCCGCACCCCAATGGCTCCGGCTGGAGGAGATGGCACACGTGCAGCCGCTCTGCTAAAGCCTCCGACACACGCACCGCTGCCCCAGCGCGACGCCGGCCTCTGCCCAAAACCCAGCCGGCGTTTGGCTGTGGCAGGTTGGGAAGCGGAGGAGATAAGGAAGGCAGCTGGCTGAGGCTGCAGCGCGAGGCTAGGACTCGCAATCCCCTCTAAGAGGTGATTTAAGCAGTTAAAATGTGCGGCAGTCCATCCGAGCCGGGTGTGAGCGTTCACCCGCTGCCAGCCCAGCGCTCAGCCCTTGCGCCGGAGGGGGATGCGGGAATCAACACGGAGCCGGGGGATGCGGGATGCAGCGGGCGGGGACTCGGAGCGGCGCCCGAGGGATGCTGCCGGTGCCGGGGGGGCCGCTCACCCCCGGGTGGAATTTACCGTGGGGTGGGGGGTGGACAAGCGTGGGACCCCCGGCCCGTACCTGCGGTTTCTCCTGCTGCCCGTCCTCAAGTTGCGAGGCTCCTCCCATGGTTTTCCAGCGTTCGTTCCCCATCGCGCCACCAACTTCGGCCCGAAGTCCCCGTGCCCCCGCCCCGGCGCGCCCCGCGCCCCGCACTCCTCGCCGGGAGGGAGGAACGGGCGGCGGCGGCGGCGGAGGGAAAGGAGGGAGAGGAGGAGGAGGAGGAGGACACGGGCACGGACGCGGGGCTGGGCCCTCCCTCCCTCCCCGCCAGCCCCGCCCGCCCTGCTTCCCCCCCCCCCTCCGACCGCGGGCAGGGGGCAGAGGGTGAGGTGAGCGTCGCCCCCCAAATTCCCCCCGAAATCCTCGTCGGCTCCCCCTGTTGACATAACACCCCCTCCCTCTCCATCCCATCCTCGGCAGCTCCATCCGCTCTGGATTCATTCCGGAATCACTCCGATTTTGCTCCAGTTTCACTCCGGATCCACTCCAGATCCAGATGTGCCGGCATAGCTGTAGGAGCCGCAGCAGGTAAGGCAATTTGGGGTTGTTCTGGGGGTATGTCGTGGCCGTTCACCCCGTCTCCACGGCCACAATCCTGGGGGCAGCACTTCGTGTTCAGGGGGCCCAGCACCACTGTGCCCCTCGGGTGGGTTTGCCCTTAGTGGCTGGAGGGATCTGGGCAGGGCAGGGGGGCTCTGGGATCGGCCCCCCCCAGCTGGAAAACATTGGAAACATCAGCCCAGGCCTTAGTGCTAAGGGCTAGCCAAAGCAATGGGTGGTAAAACCCACAGTGCTGTCCTGGAGGGGCACCAGCAAGACCCCCCCCGTGTGGGTGTGCCCACCATTGCCACTGAGTGAGGCATTTTGCCCAAATCCCACCGTTTCCAGCCCAAAGGAGCAGCGCCCGCCTGATTTACTGCCACCGCTCCGAGCTGGGATGTGGTTTTTATTTCCCATCCCTTTGCGGCACCTCCCTTAAATCTTTCATCCGCCGCATGTCTGACCTGCAGGCAGGAGCTGCTGAGAGGTTCAGAGAACATCCTGAGCGCAGCAGCAGGGGGAGGATGGAGCCTCATCTGCCAAGAAACCACTGGAGAACCCTCCAGGAGGGGGACAGGGGAACGGAGCTCTGCGGTGTGCGCATGGTACCAAACGTTGGCTGTCTGCTGGCCAGGTGCACCTCCCAGCTTTGGCTGTGGTGATGCTGTGTGGACAAACAGGGTGATGCTGATGGCCAGCAGCCCAGCTCCTTCCAGCGGATGAGACCGTTCAACTCATTCCACCCGTGGCAGTCTGTGCCGTTCTGGCAGCGCGAGGCCCCAGGCATCAGGGGGCTGCTTGAGCTGAACTCCAAACAATAAAAACTTATCATTAAAAAGAAATGTATCTTGGCTTCACGCGGCCTGGCAGCATGGGGAGGAGTGATTCAGTGGCTTGTCAGCCCTCGGTGTTAGGCACGCTGTGCTGAGCAACTGGACACTCTCCAAGTCCAGCAACTCATTTTCCGCAGATGGAGCCAGGACCGCGCAGTTTAATTTGCAATCCAACATACCTTGACATAATCCTCAGCATCATCATGGGTGCTGCCATGAGATGGGAGGAGACACTCGGGGAGCAATGCCATGCAGCCCTGCTGTGCCCAGGGTGCATCCCCATAGGGTGCCCACTGGGGATGTGGGTGCAGGATCGGTGGCTCTGCATGCTTTGGGGGCTCCGAGCGATGCTCAAGGCGAGCCCTCCCCATACACATGGCTTGGGCTCATTGCTGACTCACACCATGCTGTATTGCCTCATGTCACCCCCCATGAAGACACAGGAGGGGGCACCCCCAGATGACTGAGCCCTGCTGGCAGCATCGCTCCCATGTGTGGCTTTTGCAGGGCATAGTGACACCGGTCCCAGAGCCCAGGGCTGTGCCACATGGGATCAGGTGCCCAGGGAGCACCCCAGTGCTGGGAGCGTGGTGGGATGGGGAAGGGCTCCTCCTGGCAGCCCAATGCAAATCGATCCTGCAAGCGTGGCATGATTCATGTTTCAGGCTATGGCCTGAGGGCAAAAACTGGAGAAATGTTTGATGTGAGGCTGTGGGTCCTGTTGGGAGCTGCGGCTCTGCCCGCCCTGAACAGGCTCTGCCCTCATTGCTTGAGGGTGCCGGGCTGGGCCTGGGGCAAAAAAATGACTAAAGCAACTTGGGATTAGAGCTGTGTGCTGAAATATGGCATTTCGATATCGTGTTTGGATGCTGTCTTCTGTGTTACAATTGGAGACAGTGAGAAGAGCTACATGCATCACAGCTGGGCTCCTGTCGGCCCCATGCTTTGGAGATGGGGACAGACCTGAGGGCAGCAAGACACCCTGAGATGGGACTGGGGCAGGGGTCTGCACCTGCAGAACAGCAGAACAGGGGATGGGTGTCTGCAGGCACAAAGCCCACGGGTTTCCAGCCATTGGATCAAGGCTGGAGGGGCAGAAATCCCCATCTCACGGTGATTCCCCCATTACTGAGCAGGGCTGGGGGCCGGGGTTGGCTGCCAGGAGCCAAGTGCTGTGCTTGGATGTGTGCCATCGGGAGCCGTCACTGCACACAGGCGGCGTCAGGCATCATCATAATATTAATAATGAAAGGGCAGAGCCTTCAAAGATCTTCGCCCCTGCGCTGCATGGCTGCTGAGCGCGGAATGCAAAGGAGCTGCGTGAGCCTCATCCCAAGCAGCCATGGGGCGACGCCAATCTGGGTCACAAAAATGCCCAGGGAGCCCCTGGGGGCTCCTCGTGTTTGGCTGCAGGGTTCCTGTCTCACATCCCCTGTCTGGTGGCCGTGAGTCTGTGATTCTCCTCTTTGGCAGGGCGCAGGGCACTCTCTGAACACCCCAAATATGGGAATGTTAAGGAATGGGCAAACTGAGCATCTCTAACAGGGCAGAGAGGTGAGCTGTGCTGCAAATGGGGACTGAGACAGCCTACAGGGCCATGGGTTGACCCTACAGCATCCCAGTGCGTCCCCATAGCTCATCACCCTGTGAGACATTTGGGTTTCAGACATCCTTTTTTAATGTCCCGTGTGTTCCCCCAAGGCTGGGCACTTTGTGTGGGACTTGGCAGCGTTGGACTGTGGGATGTGCAGCTCTGCTCCTCTGCTCTGTGCCAGGAGCCCTGACCTGAGAAGGAAGAAGCCAAAGCCCCTGTGCTGGGTGCAGAGCATGCCTACCCCATGCCCACCCCATGCTCACACCATATCCTCCCATATCACTCCATACTCACCCCACGCCTATTTCATACCCACTCCATACTCACCCCATGCCCAACCTGTGCTCACCCCACACCCATCCCACACCCTCTCCATGCCCACCCCACAGCTACCTATACCCATATCATACCCACTCCATAATCACCCCATAGCCACCCATTCCCACTCCATACCCATCCCATGCCCACCCCTATCCATATCACATCCACTCTATACCCACCCCATACCCCATTCCCACCCCATTCCCATGCCCTGCTCGCACTTTGGATCCAGTGGGCTGTGCTCATTCACCCCATGGAGCGCAGCATCACGGGGTCCCGCTGTGCTCCCAATGCCATCCCGTTGTGCACAGCCCTCCCTCAGCCTTTATTTCCCCTTCCAAACACAACAAAACCCCCCTCAAATCCTCCACAAGTGAGAAATCTCTTTTTGTTCCTTTATTTTTTTCTCTGCCGCTGCAGAGGATCGATCGGAGCTGATTCTCCATAATCCGCCCTTTCTGTGGGAAGCTGGAGCCCCTGGGGGGGGGGTGGAACCGATGTGGGTCCCACTCAAGGTGCTCAGGGCTGTGTGCTCATGGCATCCAACATCCCAAACCCTCATCTCCTAGCAACTTCCCTGTGCTGCCTCTCTGTGATACCCTGCATTCAGGCTTTGAAGGGCAGAGCTTTGGTTCCTGGATGGGTTTGGGAGCGTTTTGTCCTCCTGGCAGCCAGGCGCTTGAGGGATGCAGGAAAACCTGAGGGCAAACCCCAGCTGTTAGCAATGGGACGTGCAGATGGGGATGGGATCCCACCCCCTGGGAGCTCAGCCTGGGAACAACATTCTGTTGGTTGAAAAAATAACATTTGATGTGGGGAAAATAATACAACAGGGTTTTGTTTTGCTTTGTTTTGTTGGTTAAGGAATGCCTCCTGACTATTTGCAGGCTGGGAAATATGTCCACAGGTCATGGAGCGCTGAAAGGGATAAATCACTCCTGGCACCAGAATGGGCTTTGTTGTGCTTGATCTAAAATACGGTGGTAAAAATGACCAAACGGCAATTATAAAGGGGGAGAACGAGTGTGTGTGTGTGTGTGTGTGTGTGTGTGTGTGTGTGTGTGTGTGGAGGGTTTGTGCTGCTCCTGCTTGCTCAGTGCACAGCGACGGGCAATGAAAGCAGCGTCTCACCCTCCAGCCACGCTGATGCTGCCATCTGAGGGCGCTTTCTCGTGGCTGCCGGTGGGAATTGGTGATGTGGGATTACAGCAGGGCTGTGTGAGGGATCCCTGTCCTCGGGGGAAGCTGCAGGGATGTTGGCATAGAGCTCAGCTCGGTGCGATGCTCTGCCTGCCCGAAGCTCCCAGTTCCCTCCGGTGCCTCCCAGTACAGCCCAGCTGCTATTGGGGTGAATCGCCATCAGAACAGCCCCAGTCTGAGCCGTCGGTTTGTTCCTGCCCCGCACCGGGGCTGCAGCATCTGAGCTGCTGAGTGCTCCCAAATCCCTGTGGTAATTGGATCAGGGCGCTGTTTTCCATCAGAATATTAAACGGGAGCCCCCGCCCCAGCCCGGGCAGCACGCTTTGGGATATAAAGACACGGTGAATCGCGTTATGGGGGTTATTTCTCCTGCTTTAAAGTCAGAGGTATCACAGCAGCTCCTGATTTGTCACAGAGCACCGTGGTCCGGCTCCTGTTGATGGCAGGATTGGGAAGGCCATCACCAGCCGAGCGCTGAGATCGTGCAGCTCATCACAGCAATGGCACACAAGGGGCTTTGCTGTCCCCAGCTCACTCCTGTCCCCACATGGGACCAGCACGGAGGCTGGGGGGTTCAATTAGCAAATGAGGGGGCTTCGGTGCCTTGCCCCGGTCATAGG